GCTGATCATTGGTATCCTAACATGCAGCTAAGAGAGATAATCATGGGATACTTTCCAATATGGGTTCAATTCTGGGGGCTACCTCTGGAATACCATAACTCTATGGTAGCTAATACCTTATATATTATTAACGAAATTATTTTTGTTCAAGACCAACCTGACTACTCTAGTAATATCAACTTTTTTCAAGTTAGAGTAATGATCAACGCTCATCTGCCTTTGATTCAAACCACTAAGGTTCATCTTGACTTAGACGATGTTTTCAAAGTTGAATGCTTATATGAATATGTTTTTCGTCATTGCCATTTCTGTCACGTCATTGGTCACTCCATTCAGGAATGTCCCCACACGGTTTATTAGACTTATAGTAGTTTTTATTGTGTTTATGATCGTGCTATCATAAACTTTGGTACAAACTTTCTAAGCCTAAATAAAGCCAAGCATTTATTAAAAGGGTGGTAGGAGTGGATTCAAAACAATAGACGCCGAGGCTCTATTAGGATTCTCTTTTTTAGGCATGGTAGGTCAGAATATAAGATCTATGAAACCAAGCCTGAAAATGTCTTAATCAATTACCCTAGCCTAAATTTGTTTATGTTCAATCTTGATGAAGGTGACTCTTCTGATTCTGATCTCTCACCAGACCCACATCAAGATGGTATGAGAATCCCTGCCTTTCCTCAGCAGGATAATCAACCATTTCCTTAAAATATTCCCTTGAACGATTGAAACAACATTAATGAAATGGTTAGCAAGCTCATTGTTGATGATCATGTAGTTCTTCAGGATTAGTATGGCTCTTTCCTAAACCATTCACTAAGGGTTGGTATTTAAATTAAGGAAAATATATCTAAGGCTGTCGTCTAGATATCTCAGGAGGCTTAAAACATCTTAAAGGTTCAACCTTTTTTTCACTGTTATTAGAATTCCTTTGGGGGAAGCTTTGGGATTTTGCCTGGATGACTGTATAAGAAAAGGGAAAGTTGAAGAAAGCAAACTTGAAAATATTCCTCGTGCTGTGACACCTCAGTCTCCTTCTAATACACATGTGATTACTCATAAACCTCTACAATCCATTGGTTCAAAAAAAATTTAAAAAGAGAAGGCTCAATAATGGTTTAGATAGCATTGAATCACATGTGGATGAGCTTACTGGAAAGCTCTTTGCTTAGTCAAGAAAGAAAGCTAAACAAGTGCAACAAGAATCAAAGGAGTTTATTTCATACTTTGATGACCCAGAACATATCAAATCCTTCAAATGGTTTCTTTTAAATGATAGGCCCCCCATCCGGATACTCTGATAAATTTTTGAAGAAACAACTGTATAACATATGGTTGGAATATTGATGGTTTTGGGTTGCTGGTCTAGAATTTTAGCTAGTAACAGTATAGTTAGAATCTTCTACCTTCTAACATTGAGGCCTTTGACAAGGTTCTCCAATCTTTCAATGTTCTATATTTTGACACTCAGAAAGATGGATGCTTGGCCTTTTCTCCTGTTGTTATGGTGGATAGCCCCTAATGGCTGATTTTCCTTTATGATGTTGTCCATGTCAAGGAGAAAGCTTTTTTTGGCTTTAAATCTTTTAGAAACTCTTCCTCTAGTGGGGATCTGGATAGCTCCTTTGTTCAAAATGTTGAAGTCGTAACCAATCTTACTGTTAGCTCACCTACTTGGCTGCATATATATCTAACTCTGATCTACTTGCATCTTTCAATCTTAATGCTCACCCAGTAGAGGATGACTTGCAACTTCTCCTATATGAGCATATTAATAGGAAGAGATTTGTAGAGGCCCTTGATGTTATGGATGAATCTTCAAAAAAGAGAAGGAATGCTGATTCTACTAATTTAAAGTTTATTAAGGCTTGGGAAGCTATATCTGAAAACCTTCCTAATAGGCCATGAGGCTTTTATGCTAGAATTGTCATGGCTTTGGGAAGGCTGTGGCAGTTCAAAGGCTTAACTAGCTAATTTTACTCTTACTCCTGATCTAATTTATCTCTTTGAAACCAAAATAGAATTAGTTGCTATAGCCAGTAAGTTTGGATCATTAGGTTTTGAAATTTATCATGGGTTAAATGCTATTAGGAAGGGAGGAGGCAGTATATTAGCCTGGAATAATTGTGTGGATGTTCATATTCTTCTGTGTACCCCTTTTGTCAACCATGTATTCCTAAAAAATTATGCTCAAATGAATAAACTATATGTCTCTTTTATGTATGGCCTGCCTCAATCTGAAAATAAATTTATTTTTAAGATTGAATTACTAACATTGCAAGAAATATATCTAAACCTTAGCTTCTACTGGGTGACTTTAATCAAGTCTTAAATTCATAAGATAAACTAAGTTTAGTCAGGCATTTGACTGGAATGGCTAATTTTAAGTATTGTCTTGAGATTGCTGAACTTCAAGAAATCAAGGAATTTGGGCCTAAATTTACTTGGTTTAACATGAGGAAAGGTATTGCGAATGTAATGGGAAGGCTTGACTTGGCAGTTTGTAATTATGAGTAGATATCAAAGTTTCCTCATTCAAATGTAGATACTCTTGCTTTAGCTACATTAGATCACTCTCCAATTTTTTTCTCTAATCACACACATCATAGTCAAGGACAACTAAAAAGGTTTGAATCATTCTAGTGTAATCTAGATGAATTTCAAGATGTTATCACTCAAAGCTATAACCAACCTACTCATGGACCATTGAGCGTTAAATTGAAGGCTAAACTAGATAGAACGTTATCTTCTCTTCTCAGTTGGAGCAAGTCTAGAATAGGGAATTTCAAATGAAAGGCAAAGAAATTGGAAAATGAAATTGTTTAAATTTACAAAAAGTTAACCTCAGATGTATCTCTTAACGATTAAATCTATAAAGAGTTAGCTATGAAAAAACATGAACTTGAATTTGTTTATGATTGTGATAACAGTTTCTGGCAACAAAGAGCCAATAAAATTATATGGCATTTGGAAGGATAAAGAAATATGAAGTATTTTCACTTTGTTGTTGGCAGAAGAAGGATAAAGAATTATGTTCATTCTATCAAGAGATTGGATGGCACGTGGATTAATAATCAACAAGAAATCCAATAGCTTGTTTTTGATCACAAATACATACTTTGAAAATTTTCTCTTTTTTCATGAAAACACCAAAAGATATTCTAAAAATGCAAATGGTTATTCTAAAAATTAATTCATTTTTCATGAAAACACTAAAGGATATTCTAAAAATGCATATGGTTATTTTAAAAATTTACTCATATTTCATGAAAACACTTATGAATATTCTGAAAACATGTATAGTTATTTTGAAAATTTATTTTTTTTTATGAAAAAAACCTATTCTAAAAATTTGTTCATTTTTCATGAAAACACTAAAGGTAAACTAGGGCAACTTTATTAAATACAACGGGAGAATCAAAGTAGGTCTTAAGGTTAAAGACAAAGGGTAAGGAAAGGTCCTTGAAGTCATGAAGCTAGGGCTTTTTGATGAACATTGCGCCTCACCATCATTCGATAATGAAGAGGTAGAAGTCATTGGTGGAGATTGTGATGGTTGGTCGAGAGAATAGAGGAGAGGTTTTGGTTAGGGTATTTTGGTCGTTTTAAGCATTTAATTTATGCCACCAAAAGACCTCATTCTAGAAAATTTTTAAGTCTTCATGAGCAACTAAATTTGTGGTGAAATTTTTTAGCAATTTTCCTTTTATTTTTTATATACATTATATATATTTAATATTATTTTTATTTAATTATTACAATCTCGTTTCCTAACTACATCATGCAAATCGAGAGTAGCTCCTTTTTTTAGTTTAATATCTTGTGTGGTTTTTCAAAATACTAGGCTATGTTTGGATAATATCCTAACCTAGCTTATGGTGGCCTAAACCCATGTTGCAGCATTAAAAGTCCATCAGCTCTTATTTGGATTAGAAAAATGAATTGGTATTTATGGGAGAATGAGTATTTTCGTTAAAGCTATATGAGGGAGCTTTCCACCATGCAATAAGTCTAGCATTGGATGTTGGGAAGCATTTAATACTTTTTAAATTTTTTATCTATCTTCTCTCTCTTCAATCTTCATTCTTGAGTGGTTGATCTCTCCTCCTTTGCCTTCATGAGTGTGCTCATCTACCATGTTGATGCTGTCTGATCCCTTGCCTTAGATTTGATCTTCCTTCGACTGTTTGTTGGTCATGTAACATGTTTCATGTTGATCACTATCATCATTTAATTCTACCTTTCGAAAATCTGTAATTTTGAGTTTAATATTTTTTCTAAAAATAAAAAATTAGTCATAAAAATATACTCCCTTCATTCAAAAATATAAGATATTTTTAACTAAATTTTACCTTCCAATAAAATAGTTACCTACTTTCAAATTAACTCTATTTTTTTATATTTATTCCTATTAAACACCCTACAATAAATATAAAATCATTATCAATAGGCGCGCTAAAAAAATAATGATTATACTTCAAAAAATTAAAAATACTTTATATTTTTAAACATCCAACTTATCAAAAAATGCCTAATATTTTTTAACGAAGAAAGTATACAACAAAATTTTTGTCTATTTTTATTATTATACATTTCAATATCATCCAGACAAATCTCAATTTGTCCAAATAACTTTTGAAAAAAAATTTAAATATAAATCATATTATAAGTACATATTTTTTTCCTAATCTTAATTTATTAATTTCAATTGAATCTTATAAATTTTTTAATTCAAACGTATAATGATAATTATTGGGGAAAAAAATGTCGTATGGTGGCTCAAGACAAACTTTTCGGATGTCACCAAATTACAGGCTGTCCTTCTCACGTCTTTGACTATGGTAAATGTAACCTCGCAGAACATCCGGATTCCTTCTTGAGATGAAAAAGTAATTATGAGAATCTACTCCTGACGGAATTCCCTGTAGAGAGATGAGGAGTGGGTCCACGTTGAGAGGTGCCAATTCCTAATTTTTTTCCTTCATTTTGCTCCTCTGCATGCGTAATTGGTTTACACGTTGGCGGGTGCCGATTTCTCGTCTTTCCTTCATTTTGCTGCTCTGATGTATATGTCAGCAGACTGTCTAACTTCTATCCTCCACGGATTCGCTCGCTTACCTTTCTGGTTCAGCCCTTGATAGTCACCTTAAGCCATTTCAGATCACAGTGAGTGAAGACCGTCAGCAAAAGATGGCGGAAAATGAACATCCAGTGGAGGTGATTCACTCCTGGTCTGCTCCAAGGTCCCTCAGCACTAGTCTCATGTACTCTTTTGCTCAGGTAGCCCTTCTTTTTCTACTTTCTAATTTTTCTTCTGTTTTGGTAATTATACTATAGATGTGTTCTTTGCTCATTTGAGATTGGTCTAATTTGGGTAATTGTAACTCTTCACACCATCGCTTAGTCCTTCCTTGGCTTGCCAAGGTTTGGGCATGGGTTAACCTTTTCCTTGGAATCAGTATTTGGCAACTGGAAACTCGTGGATTCGTTGAGAAGGGTAACGGCTGTTAGTCTGGTGCAGTATATGACGACGAGGAGATTTTGCTGACTGAGTGATGGATCGTTCTCTTAGTTATTGATAGAGCATTGCTGTTGAAGATTTGGAGGGGGGGAAGGAACTTTTTTCGAGATTGAATTTTACTCCTCTGAGAATTGGTTTGAATGGTTATTGGCAAGAATAATATATAATTAGTTTTGGCACTGAATTGGTTAGGTTATATAACGTTGATGTTAAATCATTGGGATTATATGTATGATTCTTTAAAGCCAAGTTATGTTTATGATATATTGATGTTAAATCATTGGGATTATATGTATGATTTTTTAAAGCCAAGTTATGTTTATGATATGTCTGCATGCGTCCCTGTTTGACTGCACAAGTATCACTTCAGCAGTAAATAAATACCGAGGCAGTTCATCCATAAGTAGTTACTCAAGATGCTTCATCTGCTTTGCTGGAGATTTACAGCTTTGTTCTTTTGGGTCCGAACATAAAATTTCAATACCTTTTGCTTTGCTTCTGAGCTGATAAATACTTGGAGCTTCCTAGCTTTTTGATTTTGTGCTTATCTGGGTGTCATTTCGTGATTGACCTAGAGGGATGACATGGAAGTGCTTGATGAGCCCCTTTATGCAAATTTCCTAAGAGTTACAAGTCTCAGCAGACCTTACAGAGAAGAGCTACTGTCCAAAATGGTATGTTTCTGCAATTTTTTGCTCCTCATGTCCTAACGCTTGATGAAAAGAATTAAGATGATTCTCTTGCGGTGTATTGTTTGAGGAGCATTCATGCAGCCAACATGGTTTTGCATGGAGTTGATTTAATTGTTAATTTTCTATAACAACAATAACAATAACGAGCTGGAGAATTTCCATTTTATCATGTCTTACATTATGGATTAGTGCTGTTGTTATGAGGAGATGGATCTCAACCAGGGAAAAAGAAGTTCCAAGGAGAATGAAAATAAAAAACCATACTCCTTCAGTCCTTTTTATAAGTCATTTCTATCAACTTTATCAATACCAATGAAAAAAAAAAGAAAGAAATAAAAGCGTGTAAAATTCTAAATATGCCACTGTATAACAAATATAAAAAGTAATGTCATGTTACTTCTTTTGCTCATGAAGGATTATTTTGAAAATATTTTTCAAATATTACCTCAAAAATCACACCATAACTTATAGATAGGACCAAATGAACCTTCTAGAACATGCCTTATAAATGGGACTGGAGGGAGTGGTTAATAAGCATAGAAGATAATAGTAAACTTTTGTGCAAAGTATCGCATCAACATAAATAAAGCCATCTAATCCGTCTATATTGAAATTGATGATAGCCAATTTTCTAAGTTATTTTGAGAATATAAAATGTTCTCATTTTTACAAATAATTATAAGCTCTACGTAGATTCTAGGTTATCAGGATATTGGTAAGCATCTGGTAATGTCAATTACTTGCCATTAACACAATCTCTAAATGGATTTTAATTAAAATGTCATTGTCTATTCAACCAATCCTTGATGTATTGATTCATCACATCCACGTTTTGCAAGTTACTTCTAACAAATAATTGGCATGACTAGTCAATTATATTTCAAAATTTTATGGTAATGTAATAACATTAATTACACTCGTTTAGATAAATTATATGTGCTGAATGATACTGATATCTAATTAGTTGCATGAGATAGTAAAGACTAGTTTTTTATAACAATAACAATAACAAGCCTTGTCCCACTCGGCAAGGTGTTAATTTTCGGTAATAAAAAGGAATTTGATTTTCATAATTTTTCAGGCTCACTTTTTAACTGAAGATACGCATTTAATTCTAAAATTCATCTAATGCTTTCCCTGCACTTTTCATTGAAATGTTGATGTGCCAATTGTAACAGGAATCTGATGGAAATAAAGTTATAAAGAACATCATTTATGGTCCAGGAAGTAGGAAGTATAAATTCTGTAAGGTAAAGAACTTCTCTTTCAAGATATGCAATTAGCAAATAACACTTCCTTTATTATAGATGCAGAAGTGGAGCAGTTTCTTGAACAACTATTTTGGCTGGTTTGGAATTGTTACTTATTATGGAAGTGATTTAATACACTAATTATCTAAATCTTGAATCTTCTGTATCAATTAGTCAAAACTTATATTCTTGATTCAGTATATCAAATACAAAGACCATATATACCCATTTTAATCATGTCTAAAATCTTCTCTAGCTATACCTTGTATGGTAGAGTAAATTAACGATTCAGTCCAAAAGAGTAACCTATCAAGTTGGCTCTCCAAATATAAATCGTCAAAGATCTTTCTCTTCTCAAATTTGGCGCTCAAATATTTTCCTTAATTAAAGTGGTCCTCGCCATGGCTTTTGTTTTTCTCTATCACATTGAAATTTAGCTCTTATATAAAATCAACATCATTTTTAATATTTAAGTCACCTTGGCGTTGCTGTATCAAAATCCCACTTTCACCTAGTAGAGGGACCAATTGGAGGAAAATGTTTTGAAAACTAACTTTGATAGACTTTTTTTTATGGAGGATGCTCAAACTGAGAGGAGAGTGATCTTTCAAGAACTAAATTGACAGGTTTTATATTTAAGGGACCAAATTGAGAGTAAGTGATATTTTAAAGACTAAATCATTAAATTACTCTGTTCTTAAAACTTATCTCTGTATCTGTTGCTCCAAATGTGAATTAAATAGTTCTCAAGAACGACTATAATGGTTGACAATAATCCCATCTCTAACTTATTTCCAAGTTTTACGCCTACTTGTTACCTCCAGCATATTGCAAAGCAACGGATACAAGGCCTGACAGATGATCTGCTGAAGAAAGGAAAGCACTTTATTCTGATAAGAAATCCTCTTGACGTTTTGGTAAGATGTATATTTTTAAAAAGTTTTTTTTTCCCATTTATTTCTCGTTTATCAAAATCCTCTGTATCTGCTGTGCTATCTCATACCAGACCATGAGCTTCAAGTTTGAGAGGTGCTTAAGAGATATTGAAAGTATGCATCTTAGTAATGTCAGTAGGCTTACATGGGTTATCTGCAGTCTCTGGCTGATTGCTGATTTTTCTTGTATGATTGACCTGATTGTGTGTCCAGCCATCCTTTGACAAAGTTGTGCCTGCATCATTTTTTGAGTTGGGTTTGGCAGAGCTTGTTTGTATATACAACGAGCTATGTGAAAGGGGAAAACCACCACCTGTTATTGATGCTGCAGAACTTAAAGAAGATCCTGAGGTATTCAAGCTCTGTGAACATGCTTAATTGTTATCATTAAATAATGCATGACAGCATGAATAAGATTTCATGCTACCCATTGATATATAATTGCCTAGTTTCAATACTTATATTGTTCTCTAATTTGACTGTCAATTCAATTTACATTAGTGAGAATTCTTGTGTATAACTGCAATCAATAATCAATTTTCGCTTGTGTGAATGATGTTAAAATACATCTTACTCTGTCCAATTAATGATTTTCTAGTTTAATATTTAGGCTAGAATGCAAAACATTCTAGGCCTGTGCAGATCACCACTTAATGTCTAAAATTAGACAATGGAGCCCTCAAACATCCAAGTTTGCGTGGAAAAGTTGATGTTTGATTAAATGGGCCTCCAAAACTCCATTTTATGTATAGATAGCCTTTTAAATTTTATGTGCAAATAACCTACTAATGTTCTCGCTTCCACAACAAATTCACAAACAACAAGGAGTTAGATGCACAAAATCTCAGGTTTTGGAGGGTCCATTTTCATGTTCTGAAGGTTAGGAGGATTATCTTGACATGGATTAAAAGTTTAAGGGTGTTTTATGAATTTTAGCTTGAATTTTGTGGTTTTATATTGCTAGCAGTGCTGAGCTTGTTACTAATGGAAAAAATTGTTGTTATTCTGTGCTGGTTCATTACCATTCTCATAGACAATTTTCTTTACTAGAATTAAAAAAAAAAAATTAATGAATGAGAGTCTTCTTTTACTATTTCGATTTCACATGTTTTCCATTATAAAGTGAGCTTGATATATGTAGAGATCTTACTTTTTAGCTATGTTGCACATGCATAACATAGTTTTGTTGACTTGCAGGCTACACTACATGGTCTTTGTGATGATTTGGACATTCCTTTCCTACCTGAAATGCTGAAGTATGTAGAATTTTTTTTATCTCTTAGGAAAGTTAGCATTACTTTCGTTATCTCCATCCTCCCCAGATGAAGAATTTTATCAATAAAAATACATCCACCTAGAAAATGAAAGGTTGCTAATGGTGGCTGGATGATCTACATGAATAATTGAAGCTTACCTTCTCCCTCTACTTCTTAGAGGTGCTATTAAAATTAGTGACTTAAAACTCAACATGAAATATGATGATTATCTCTGATCTGCACCATCTTATCATGTTGATATTTGCCAGTCCAGACTTTTTCTGTTCCTTTGTTGTCTTCCTTTGTCTATTTTTCTTTGTTTTCTTCTAGACAGTTTGTTTTTGAGATGTTTAACCATTGTAAATTTGTGCAATGCCGTTCTTTCAATGACAATTTATTGTTCCTTCGTAATGTTTATAATTACTCTCCTGCTACTGTTATTTTACATGCATGCATCACATGTTGACATTTTAAAGTTGCCAGGTGGGAAGCAGGGCCAAAACCAATAGATGGCTTGTGGGCTCCTTGGTGGTATAAGACAGTACATAAGTCTACTGGTTTTGAGAAAGCAAGCAAGTATCCTCAGGTATGTGGTTTGTTGTTGTTCCAGTTCAGCTTCTGTTGCAAGGTGTCCTGGCCTCTTCATTTGAAGAAAACAAGACAGTTTTTTGTTTTTTTGTTTTTTGTTTTACATAGAATTAGGTATTTTGACAGGAATTCTTTATACTTTAACTTTTTTGTAGCCATTTCCCTTTTCTTTTTATGATCTGCTGGAGCAAAGTCTACCCCTCTACAACATGCTTCGGCGACATGTGAAGAAAAAGTCATCCCTCCTGACCCCTACTTTACCTCCACCTGATCTTCCAGTTCCTGCAAATGAGAAACTTCTTGCGTGGGTTGGTGATGAGATAGTGCCACGCGAGAGTGCAAAGGTTTGATTGACCTCTTAACGTGTCTTGTCAGTAAATAAAATAAAGGATCTAATTTGTATGATTTGTGCACACATTCTAATGATTTTAATATTTACCGATATCCATCAGGTCTCTGTTTTTGATTCAGTTGTGCAAGGTGGTGATTCAGTTTGGGAGGGTCTTCGGGTGTACAGTGGAAAGATTTTTAAGCTTGAGGAACATCTAGACAGGTAGTGTTGCTGATAAATTAACAAGTTGATTCTTGATGCTGACATTTTATTCATTCATGTTTTGAGCTCTGGTTAAGTGATTATTTAAACATGCATAAACTGAAATAATTGATATTACATTATTTGTGGAATGAATATTACTATTAGTAAATCATTAACTTCAAGAACGTTACTAGTATGAGTGCTATGTGCTAAAACTGGCATTTTGAGATGGTTTCTGTTGAGAATCTATTTGGTAAGACAGGTAGGGTAAAGAATTTTTTTGCACTCTTAGGGAGCTTCAAGATTCTATATAGACAAACTTGCTCTTTTTTTTCTTCTTATTTAATGTTTCTGCTTTGCTCCTCATCTCATGAAAGAAACCTGCGTTTTACTCAAACTCAGTGGATACACTGTGGGATCTGCTAAACAGAAACAACTGTTTTAAGCTCACACCATAAAGATTATATTTGTGTCTCTTACTGTAAGTGATGTGATGAAGACTTATTATACTCGTCAGCCAACCCTCAAATAGCTGGTCGCACAGGATTGAAAAGATTTTGCTTGCTGCCATCTTCAAAGAATTATGGTATAAGAATGATTTGAAAGCATGTGCTCATGATCTGTTAAAATACTTCTTCGGTCTTTTTGCATTCTAAATTAAATAGGTGTGCTATTAGAAGATATAATTATCACATAAAATACTGAAATTTTTTGTTGGGAAATTTTCTTTTTTTTCAATTCTCATCAATTCTCAATTTTGAGTGTGGATATATATTAGCTGAAGATCCTATATTCCATGCTCACTAAGCTATATTTTAATGGTGAAACTGTAGTAATTTGAAAATATTTGGTTTCCATCACTGTTGTTCATCTGACATGCCATGATTAACATTAGGATGTTTGATTCAGCAAAAGCTTTGGCTTTTGAAAACGTTCCAACTCGAGATGAGGTGAGTTTGTTCAACAATTTTTTAAATCTCTCTTGGATTGCAGCCTTGCCTTTATCTTACTATGCTGTGTTATGGTACTAGATCTTGTTTAGTTCACTGTAATGTATGTAGCTGCAAAAGTAAATTGCAGATTAAGGAAGCAATCTTCAGAACACTGATTAGGAATGGGATGTTTGACAACTCACACATTCGGCTTTCTTTGACACGAGGAAAAAAGGTTCTATTTACTCTCTCACAAAATTTAATATCCGGAGGCAGGTTAGGATCTGGATGAAGTATAGACAACTTAGCAAGACTGATGAAACCTTAAGCCCTGTGCTTCAAGTTTCCTTTTATTGTTGTTGTTGTTGTTTAATGATTTGATGGGTTATGAATGAATCTGATGTTATAAGCTGAATGGTAGTCTTTGTTTATTTAATTGGTGACCTAATTTATAAAACCATTAATCTTATGTGACTCTTTGGTCCACCTTCCTCTGAAGTCATGCTGAATTATATTACTTTCTTCTCTAGGTTACATCTGGGATGAGCCCAGCATTCAATCGTTATGGATGCACATTAATTGGTAAATCCCTTTCCCTTCACTGTATATGATATGAAAATATTAGGAATTAGTTGGGGCAGGGGTATAAATGTTATTTCAATGGGTCAGTACTGTTACTAATATTTAGGCTAATAGTCCAGCCCTATAAATACCCAAGTCCAGATGCACAGTGTTGTTGTTGAACTCATTTTAATAAACGTACTATTCAGAACGTCTCGTCTATTCGTCTCTCTATTCCCTCCTTCTCGTCTACCTATCTTTCTTCTTCTCCTCTCTTCATCTCTTTCTATCCTAACAGTATACCTATGATATTCTATCAATATGGAAAGAGATTTTCTGCATCAATTTGAAATTTTCAATGGACCTGATAAGATTAATTAATTGACTATTTGCACTTAAAGTGGATGGGCTATTTTATTTCACCACTTATATTTTTCAAATGTGCAGTGCTTGCTGAATGGAAGCCCCCTGTTTATGATAATACCCATGGTATAGTACTTGTGACTGCTGCAACTCGTCGAAATTCACCAAATGTGAGCTTCTGATTTTTATACTCATTATGAAGAGAAAAGATCATCTGTAATTGTTTCTATTGTATAATTGTAATATGGAAATATTAGTTGCTGTTATTGTTGGTTGGTTGGTTAGTTAGTGATGAAATAATCAATAGCCGTTGGGGGTTGGTGAGAGTTAGAAACCTATATATAGATGAATACCTCCGTAATTCAATCTGTGATTTCCTAATCATAATGTTTCGCACTATTCAGTCACTCTTCTTTGTCTCTCTTTCTCTTTCTCTTTCTCTCAACCCTTTGAATCTCTCTCCTCTGTTCTTCTCCCCTATCTCTCCCTACTTTCTCTCTTTCAGAATTATTCTTTTATATCAGTGGTATTAGAGCCAGGTTTCATAGTTAGTGGTTGTAGTCTGCCATCCGTTCTAAGTTCTCTATTTATGCATGTTCTCCAGACTCAATCACCGTGACCTTTTACTTTACTGATGAGAACGTACATCTCTGTTTCTTTCTTGGCAGTGGTGCTCGTTCTTGTTCTGACTTGGTTCAGAGGCAATTTAATTAAAGATGCTTTGGGGTCTAGTTTGTTACAATTTTCTGTGTACTTGACCTTTGAGGGCAACAGTCTCTTGGGAGGGGTTTGTTGTTATATAATTGTAATATGGAAATAGTAGTTGCTGCTATTGTTAGTTAGTTAGTTAGTTAGTTAGTGATGAAATAATAAATAGCCGTTGGGGGTTGGTGAGAGTTAGAAACCTATCTATAGATGAATACCTCTAATTCCATCTGTGATTTCCTAGTGATAATGTTTTGCACTATTCAGTCACTCTCTCTCTCTCTCTCTCTCTCTCTCTCTCAACCCTTTGAATTTCTCTCCTCTGTTCTTCTCCCCTGTCTCTCTCTACTCTCTCTTTCAGAATTATTCTTCTATATCAGTTTCTGTCTTAGATTGTGGACCATAGAAAGTACCTTCTGTATCAATGAGCTGGCAGAGGGTGGGGCAAATTGTAAGAAACCCTGACAAATATAGCAGGGGAGCGAGTGCGTAGGAGCAGGAAGGGGCTGCTAGTGCAGAGTGCTAGCTAAAATGGGATATTGTTATAGAATGTGAACCATTCAATGGCAACATTTTCTGTGTGACTGGCATACTGTTTTAGCACATCCATTTGACTTGGTCTTCTCTCCCTTTTTTGTTTTCTGATCAGAATCTGGATTCAAAGATTCATCACAATAACCTTCTTAATAACATACTAGCAAAGGTATTTTCCTTTTTGCCTTGGAAATATTTCATATTTTGTAGTTGTCCCTTACTATTATTGTTATTTCTGGATTATCTACTAGTGTAACAAGGATGGTTGCTGAGTGAATATATCTGTTAGTTATCCTTGTTTGCTTCTAGTGGGAGAAGTGTGTTATTTGGCATATGCAAAAGACGTGTTGATGATTTACTACCATGTGTGATAATTTGATTCATAGATGCTAGCATGATAGAATACACTGTTTCAGAACTCTTGTCAGGCTTAAGTGTCATTCTTATGGGTATTTCTGATGGATGTTACAATTCACAAAAACGTTGGTGCAGATTGAAGGAAATAATGCAAATGCAAATGATGCAATCATGCTCGACAAAGATGGTTATGTATCTGAAACCAATGCAACTAACATTGTATGTCCTCAACTTTGTCTTAACTGGCAGATTTCTTTTTCTTTTTCTTTTTTTAAATCATTCTGGTTATTTTATGCTATTACTTACAAGGTTGAGGTGATGACAAATCATTTTAACTCATTGCATGGCTTAAGAATGCTGTGAAATGAGGGAAGATGAAAGGAAAAGCCTTTGCGGGAAAAGTGGGCAGCATATTTTAGAACCATGCATTTATAGGTCAACCATACAAGACAAGACGGAAATCTCGACATGTTACATCCCTTTCTTACAGCCTTAATTACTGTCATCATACAATCAGTAAAGTCATATCTTAGTCAGCAAACTCTAGCAGAACATTCAATTTCTAAACATGTAAAATAATCATCCAATGCAACAAGATGCTACAATATAGTAAATATAAGGTAGCTTCATCTTTAATTTGCAGTCTGAGAGGGTAACAGAGCCCCTCATCTCATTGTTTAAGTATCACATGTTTTTATTTTGTGTTTTTTAATTTTGTAATAGGGATTTCTAGAACAGAGAATCTTCCTACATGATGACAGTATCGTAAATATAGTGTAGGTTAATCTTGAACTTGCAGTCGCAAAGGTGACAAATCCCCTTGTTTTATTATTTAAGAACGTTCATGTGCTTTTCTCTTCTATTTTCCCTTCTATGGAAGGGATTTCTAGAACAGATAATAATAGATTGCAAGTATTGACTGGTAACAGTTGGGATAATATTTGGTCTTTGTGCAGTTCATAGTTAAAAAGGGCCGTGTCTTGACACCACATGCTGATTACTGTCTGCCTGGTATTACACGAGCAACTGTAAGTTGTGGAAATTCTCATTTATTATCATAACAATTTCAGGTTGGAGGCCTAGTTTCGTCTCTTCAATATTATAGAGACCAAGCTTCAAATGAAGTAAATTTATGACAGTTGCTTGACATGGATGGTTGAGACCTGTCTAAACTATTTTATCTTTGACTTGGAAGGGGATATCAATGAAGAAGATAAATAAATATTGTGCAATTATGTGATTGGCATTGGGGATTGGATGAATAATTAGATATGCTATGTAATTCTGGATATTTTTCTTTCCAATGCCATGATAATTAGATGTAGCATATAAGCAGGGAATGTGGTGATATTGTGATTATTGTAAATACTATTTTCTCTTTATTAGGAGTTAATAAGCTTTATTAGTCTTAATTATCTTGTCTTCTAGCATGGTGTATAAATACTTTATATCACATTATTCTGACAATAAAAGAAAGTATAATTCTTCCCTCAAAATACCATATGGTATCAGAGCAAGGGGTACCTAGGGTTTCGACGCGCACTTGTTTGTTTGATTTCGGTCACTATTCAATGTGCGAGCAAGTTCCTTAATGGTAAGGCTTTAGATCTCACTTCCCTCCTAGAAGGGTTTAGAGATTGCCGATTAGCCTTTCCTAGGAATTTAATGGTGAGCGGCAGTGCGTGGCTCCCAAACATGCCATCACCTGAGTTAGTGTTAGCCCCCATTCTTCAACATGTGGCAATGTGTGGCTGGCTCTATCTCCAAGATGTTGATTTTGTTTGCTGCCAGACAGACAGAGAGAGCTTAAACAATCAGGGAACATTCAAAAGGATGAAGCTACTGGTTCAATTGTTGATATCTCTTGGCTTGGTGAATCTGATCTGCGGTGGCATCATCGTTATATGTCAAAAATTTGTGTTGATCAAGCACAACCTCACACCTGGAAATGTTGAGTTTGACTCGGTAATTAGAAGTCAACTTTCACCATCAGTATTTGCATTTGTGGCACAAAAGGGGACATTTCTTCAAGCCCTCAAAACCTCTAGAACTAAACCTTTATGGATTGTTGATTTTGGAGTATCGGATCATATGACTGATTGTCATCAGTAGTTTTCTACTGATGTTCCATGTGCTAGGAATGTGAAAGTTAAAATTGCGTATAGATCTCTTGCTCTTATTGCTGGAACAAGGAGTATTCATATCTTGGACTCTATAATTATGGAATCTATCCTTCATGCTCCAGAATTAGCTTGCAACCTATTATTTGTTAGCCAATTAACAATGTTGTGCTCATTTTCTCCCAACTCATTGTGTCTTTCAGGATCTATAATTAATGATGACAATTGAATGTGGTCCAGAGTGTAAGGGGCTCTACTTCTTTGAAGATGTTAGAGTGAGTCACCAACAAGCCACCGGTGTATGCAATTCTATATCTCAATGTTAGAGTAAGTCACCAAGCAATCTCAATGTTGTGCTCATTTTCTCCCAACTCATTATGCCTTTCGAGATATATTATCAAGGATGACGATTGAATATGCTCTAGAGTGTGGGGGGCTCTACTTCTTTGAAGATGTTGGAGTGAGTCACCAACAAGCCACTAGTGTAGGGAATTCTTTATCGAACTCTAAAGATGTGGATGTCCTATTATGGCTCCAAAGAATGGGCCATCTTAATTTCCATTGCCTATCTCGTTTGCTCCCATCCCTTTGCCCACCTAACTGTGATGTAAAATGTGAGGTGTGTGAACTTGCTTAGCATCATTGAACATCCTTCCCTAGAACGCTGTACATACCCACCAAGCCTTTTGCTATCATTCATAGTGACTTGTGGGGAGTGGCCTATATCCCAAACCACACTAAAGCAAAGTGGTTTATTACCTTCATTGATAATCATACTCATATTTGTTGGGTTTACCTTTTAAAAGAAAAGTCCGAGGCTTCTTCCATGCTTATCAATTTCTTTACCGTGGTAAAAGCCTAGTTCAACACAAGCATCCAAGTCCTGCCCATGGACAATGGTACTAAATATTTCAACCAATCCTTGAGTGCTTTCCTCTACAAGCATGGTATTGTGCATCGAAGTTCTTGTGCCCATACACCCTAACAAAATTGGATTACAAAGAGGAAAAATAAACATATCCTTGAAGTTGCTAGGGCCCTCATGTTCACTCAATGTTCCAAAGTTTTATTGGGAGGATGTTATTTTAACTGCTACCTATCACATCAACTGAATGCCCAGTCATATATTCTCCTTTGATAGTCCTCTCCATAAATTGTAAAGTATTTTTGTCCACATGTCATATTGAAACCAATCTTCCTCTTCGTGTGTTTAGGTACACAACCTATGTTTATCTCCACCAAAACAATAAACTTGGTCCCCATGCTATCGAATGCATCTTTCTTGGCTATTCTCCTACTCAAAAAGGATATAGATGTTTTGATGCCTATTCCAAACACACGTTTGTAAGCCTTGATATTACTTTTCATGAAGACATACCTATTTAGGGGGAGTGTATAGGTGAATCTTAAATTTGAGAACAAGAAACTAATAAAGGTGGACAAATGCTCCTTTATTCCTAGTTTACAACAGTAGAGCCATTCCTACCACAATTACTAAAGCCATTGTCCTCACTATCACTCTCATCAGAACCATCTCTTGTGCTGGTCACAAAAGATAACTCAAAAGCAAGGGGAAAGGTAGAGAAGTAGAAAGATAAAGACTTGTTAGTTTACTTATGAAAGCATAAATCCAAGGATGGAGAGCACCTTATACTTCAAGCACCAAACGAGTCAGAACTAGCGGTAGCTCTTGAATGGCCTCAGAAAATTTCTCAACGGGTGAGTGATCAATCTAATCTTGATTTTACCTATTACTCTCAAGAAATAGCCTCGCTCATGTACCTTACATCCAATATAGAAGCAAATGCCCTACAAGGCTTTCTCTCCGAGTTACTGAGCATTTGTCACTAATTTGGATAAAGTTGCAATTCCGAACAACATCCAAGATGCCTATTCCAAACACACGTTTGTGCATCCTTATTGTATATGTTGATGATATTATTCTCATAGGAGACTATCTTGAGGGAAATAACAAGAGTGAATATTGCTCTAGGAAAAGAATTCAAGGTAATAAATGTCAGCAGCTTGAGATGGAAGTTGCAAGGTCAAAGAGAGCTATGTTAGGATGTAGGGCCATTGAAACTCCTATTGTAGTTCTAAAGAAAAAGAAGCCTAAGAAGAATAAGGAAGTCAGAAGAAGAAGAAGATGATCTTGATTATGAGATTGAAGAAGACGATGAGAAAGGAGAAGCAGCTGATAAAAAAGATATTGGAGACTTCTTGGGAAGCTAATTTATCTCTGCCATACAAGACCAAATATTGCCTTTGCAATGAGGGATACATGTTTAAACCAAAGAAGAAGAATATGGAAGTAGCTTACAAGGTTTTGATGTATCTAAAAAGTACTCCTAGTAAAAGGTTATTGTTATAGATTTGTAAAATATTGGTTAGTATGATTAGTTTAGATTTAAATGACAATTATTGGGAATTAGCCGTTGGGGAGTGTGAGTGTGAAGTTTATAAATAAAAAGACATTTGATTTGTATGGGATTCTGAATAATCACATTAGTATTATGCAAGTTCCTATTATTCCTTAATTCCTCTCAATCTCTCCTTCTCTCCCGCATCTCTAATTCTTCTCTGTCTTGTCTCTCCCTTCTCTAACCCTTCTCCAACCTTTCTATTCTTCTCTCCTTTCCCTCTTATCTCTCTTGTTAATCTTCATTACCCATAATTATTCTAACAGATTAATGGTATTAGAGCAAACGCTCCTTGGCTACTTCTTGTCTCATGTTCATTGTCTGCAGTACATGGTTCACACCCGAAACCAAATCAAGAAAGAAATGGAAGAACGTGTGGTTCGACTGGAAGAAAATTTTAATAAGGTAGATACCTTGACCGAATTAGTTGAAGGCATTTTGAACCAGTTCTAGATGCTCATGTGTGATTGTGAGCATGGCATGGGGAATGACGAGGACGGACGCAATGGGCATTGTCAAAATCGCGACCAAGAAATAGAGGAACTGCATCGTTGCGAAGGTCACGAACACCATGGGTACCGCCGGCCAATGCAATTCACCAAAATGGACTTCCCAAAATTCACCCGAGAGGATGTCGAGGGCTGGATACTGAAGTGTGAGCATTACTTTGAGCTTGATAAGACCCCCGAAGAATCAAAAGTCAAGATTGCAAGCATGCATCTTGACCCAAAAGCATTCCAGTGGCACGTCGCGTACGAGAAAGCGTGGGCAGGCGTGCGACCCACTTAGGAAGAATATATCGACGAATTGAAGGATTGGTTTGGGCCTGTTCATGAGACCCCCATGAGTGATTTGGTGCGTCTAAAACATCAAGGGATTTTGGCTAACTATAATGATAAATTTGACACCATCTCTTACAAACTAAGTTTATCAGAAGAATATTTGGTTGGATTATTGGAAGAGATTGCAAGACCTGTCAGGTTGTTTAAACCAAGAACCATGAGAGAAGCACGAGGCTTGGCAAGAATGCAAGAAATCACGTTAAAAAAGCAAGCTGAGAAGAAAAGTCAGCACAAGAATAGTGGACAGGTGGCAGCGGTAGCTTCTTCCACACAAGCCTCTCACTAGAACACTTGGACATCATACAAAAATGCTTTGATCGGTGGTGGGACCCAAGGGAAAGGAAAGTCAACATCTTTATCTTCAAAAGCCTCTTCTTTTAACTAAAAAAATGTTAATAAACCGCTCAAAATTCTTTCTGCAGAGGACGAAGCAGAGCACAGGAGTAAAAACTTATGTTTTTATTGTCATGAAAAATTCTTAAGAGACCATAAATGTCCTCAACGTCAAAAGCAACAACTCCACTTCCTGGAAATTCAAGACAATCAAGAAGAAGATGCTCTTCTGGAAGAAATTACTGAAGACAAGGAAGATGACAGGCCTAATATTTCTATTCATGCAATAGAGGGAGTTGATGGGATTTCTTCCATGTGAGCCACAGGATACTGTGGCAGGAGGCAGCTTCAGATCTTAATTGCTAGTGGTAGCACTCATGATTTTTCAGACTTTAATGTGGCCAAAAAACTTGGGTGGCAACCTGATGGAACCAATGAAGCTTGGGTAGAAGTAGCTAGAGGAAGAAAGCTTAAAGTGCATAGCGTTTGGGAAGGATTCTAGCGGAGAATGCAAGGTTTAGAATTTTCTTTTGATTTTAGAATTCTTGAATTGCATACATATGACTTAGTGCTGGGGTGATTCAAGAAAGCTCAAGCCCATTTTCAGCCTTGGGGGAACGACTTAGTGCTGGAGGGAATTATTACTTAATGAGGTGATTCAAGAAAGCTCAAGCCCATTTTCAGCCCCTATTGTATTGGTCAAAAAGAAGGATGGCACTTGGAGGATGTGCATAGATTATAGGGAACTAAACAAAAAAACTGAAAAATCAATACCCAATTCCATTGGTAGAAGACCTCTTTGATGAATTGAGTGCTGCAAGATGGTTTACAAAGCTAGATTTGAGGGGTAGTTACCATCAGATCAGAATGGTACCTCAAGATATATCAAAAACAGCCTTTAAAACACTATAAGTGGTTAGTTGTCATTCGGCTTAACTAATGCTTCAACCACTTTTCAAGGGGCTATGAAAAGTATTTTTCGCCCTTACTTGAGAAGGATTGTTTTGGTTTTTTTTTATGATATTTTAGTCTACAGTGCTAATCTTAAAGATCATGTGCAGCATCTTAAACAAGTTTTTTCTATCTTACGAGAAAATTGTTATTTTATAAAGAAGAGCAAGTGTGCTTTTGCTACCACAGAGGTAAAATATCTAGGGCATCTGATTAGCAAGGGAATGATCAGAACTAATCATAGAAAGGTCGAGGCAGTGGCTGAATGGCCTGAACCAAAGAATATCAAGCAATTGAGGGTTTTTTTAGGGTTGGTGGGATATTATAGAAGATTCATTAATGGGTATGGAGTATTGACCAAGCCACTGACTCTCCTCAAGAAAAATGGGTTTCAATGGACAAAAGTAGCTGCAGAGGCCTTCAATCACCTTAAAAAAGTCCTAATTTCTGCCCCTGTACCTACCCTTCCAGACTTTTCAAAAGAGTTTGTAGTGGAGACTAATGCTTGTAGAGTAGGATTGGGGGCTGTTCTAATGCAAGAGGGTCAACCAATTGCTTATTTTAGCAAGGGCTTGGCTGAAAGATATCAAAAGCTACCAGTATATGAAAAAGAATTGATGGCTATAGTATTGGCTGTATACTCCATTGGCATCAATACTTGGAAAGACAGCGGTTTTTAATTCATTTAGATCAGCGAAGTTTGAAGTATTTGCTTGGTCAAAAGTTAAAGACAACTTTTCAGATGTTTTGGATTTCTAAGTTAGCTGGCTTTGATTATGAAATTCAATACAAGAAGGGAAATGAAAATTCTGTTGCAGATGCTCTTTCTAGAATACCCAAACAGCAGCTGATGCAAATGGTTTTAGAAACTTCTTCTCCTGAATTATTGGGAAAAATCAAGGGTAGTTGGGAAGATGATGCTATGGTGATGGAAATTCAGAAGAAAACTCAAGGAAATAATGGTATGTGGGGGCATTTTTCTTGGGATGGAGAATTGTTAAGAAGGAAGGGAAAGTTGGTGATTGGAAATGATCCTAGTTTGAGATAACAAATTTTGGAGTGGTTGCACTCTAGTCCTCAAGGAGGGCACTTTGGAATTCAGGCCACTTACCACATAATAAAGGCATTATTTTGGTAGAGAAAGCTGATTATTGATGTGAGGATTTCATTAAACAATGTGATACATGTGCTTGTTGTAAGTATAAAGCTGTTGCCCCTCTCGGGCCGTTGCAACCTCTTCCAATTCATAGTTGAGTTTGGGAAAGTATTATTGTAGATTTTATTGAAGGACTTCCTAAATCACATGGTAAGGACACAACATGGGTACTAATTGACAAAATGAGTAAGTATGCTCATTTCATTCCTCTTACTCATCCTTATTCAGCTTCTTCTTTAGCACAACTTTTTATGGATAATGTGTATAAACTACATGGTGCACCTATTGAAATTATAAGTGATCGTGACCCTATATTTGTGAGTGGATTTTGGAAGGAATTTTTGCAAGTTTTGGGAATTAAACAACAACTTTCAACTGCATATCACCCTCAAACAGATGGGCAATCCGAAGTTCTAAATAGGTGCTTAGAAACCTGTTTTATATGTATGTGTTGGGAGCAACCAAGGGATTGGAGTAAGTGTTTGTCACAAGCTGAATGGTGGTATAACACCACATTTCATACAACACTAAAGCGACTCCACATGAACTTTTGTATGGTCAGAAAGCCCCTATTCATTGTCCTTATTTGCCTAACAGTTCTGTTTTGGATGTTTTAGACAAGACTTTTTAGGCTAGGGAAGCTATGTTGGCTGTTTTGAAGCATCATTTTCATCGGGCAGCCAATTTGATGAAGCAGAAAGCTGATTCTCATGGAACAGACCGAGAGTTTACTGTTGGTCAATGGGTTTTCCTTAAGTGGCAGCCATATAGACAGATTTCTGCAGCTGCAAGGAGTACATAAAGCCTAGCTCCTAAATATTTTGGTCCTTACAAGGTCATTAAACGAATAGATGTTGTTGCCTACAAGTTAGAACTACCCTTTGAATCCAAAATACATCCAACTTTTTATGTTTCTTTATCAAAGCTATGTCCTGATCCTAAAGTTAAGTAAAGGCATCCACCTCTTGATTGGCCAGAATTACCTCCAGCTTTGGAACCCTAAAATATTCTACAAAAGCGAGTTCGTAGGAAGAGAGGACGAATTATCACTGAAGTACTGATCAAATGGAAGCAACTACCTAATGAAGAAGTATCTTGGATGGCTCTACATCAGTTGCAGCAAAAGTTTCCTCAATTTGTTATTAATGATCCTTAAGGGCAAAGATCTTTTTTGGGGGGTATTCTTATAGTTTTGTAAAATATTAGTTAGTTTGGTTAGTTTAGATTTAAATGACAATTATTGGGAGTTAGTTGTTGGGGAGTGTGAGTGTGAAGTCTATAAATAATGAGACATTTGATTTGTAAGGGATTCTGAATAATCACACGTGTGTTATGCAAGTTCCTATTATTCCTTAATTCCTCTCAATCTCTCCTTCTCTCCTGCATCTCTAATTCTTCTCTGTCTCATCTCTCCCTTCTCCGACCCTTCTCCAACCTTTCTGTTCTTCTCTCCTTTCCCTCTCATCTCTCTTGTTAATCTTTATTACCCAGAATTATTCTAACAGATCAGTTATTCTTCTAAAAAGAAGAATACAAAACCATAGGTTTACACAGATGCAGATTGGGGGAGGAAGAAGAACTCGTCTTGATAAAAGATCAACATCTGGTTGTTGTTCCTTTGTGCAGGGAAATTTGGTTACTTGAAAAAGTCAAAAGCAAAGAGCTGTTTCTAAAAGTAGTGCTGAGTCTGAATTAAGAGTGTTGGCTCAAGAAATAATGGAAGAGTTATGGTTGAAATGAATCTTGGAAGAGATTCATGTCAAAGTGGACCTACCACCAAACCTTTATTATGACAATAAGGCAGCTACAAGCAAGGCTCTAAATCCTGTACAACATGAGAAATCCAAATAAGTGGAGGTAAATAGGTATTTCATCAGAGAAAAAGTGGAAGAAGGAATCATATGTCTAACTTATTTGCCTACCAATCTTCAAGTTGCAGATGTTTTGACTAAGAGGTTTAAGCCTGCATTTGAAAGTTGTTTTAATAAGTTGGACATGATTAGCATCTATGATCTAATTTAATGGAATGTGTGGTGATATTGTGATTATTGTAAATATTGTTTTCTCTTTATTAGGAGTTACTAAGCTTTATTAGTCTTAATTATCTTGTCTTCTAGCTTGGTGTATAAATACTTTTGTATCACATTATTCTGATAATACAAGAAAATATATTTCTTCCCACAAAATCCCACGAGGAAGCTGATAGATGATGAGACCAAAGTCCAATTATGACAGCACGACCCTAATACAATACGTTTGTTTATTTAGTAGCAAAGGCATCTTTTTGTAGATATAATTTGAACTTGTTGAAATGAATTTAAAGATTGAAAAGATTAGGTTTTGTCAAAAGATGCTGGATTGTTTGTTTTTTTCTCAGGTGATGGATCTCGTAGTGATGGAGAAGCTAGTATTAGAGGAGCGAAGAATTAGTCTGTCTGAAGTTCATACTGCAGATGAGGTTCATGTCTAGCATCTATGATTTCAGAATATCTGCTAGTTATTTCTTGTTGTGTTGGTGCGTATACAGGCATTGTTTGGGGACCAAATATGAAAACGAACTTTGTAATTTTCTTAATTGCTTGCTGAAATTTGGTGGCCAGGCTAGTAATACCTAGCAAAATTAAAATTTTCTTCAATGCTTGATTACATGGGGATAGGCTAAGCATGCTGAACAATACTCTTTTAGGACCTACCAATCTGACAGGAATTAGGTCCTTTTTCTTCTCTTGGCTTCAATTAAATTGAAGTTGAGTTGTAACCCGGAGGCTTCCTTGCAGATATGGACAACAGGAACAATGGGAGAACTAAGCCCAGTAAGTACCCTTATATTTGATAGATTGAAGTTTGCCTGAATGAAGTTTGCTATATATTACGTGATAAAAGTGTCCATCAGTAACCCATTTCTCTACTCGGGGTTCATGCCATTTGCTGCTATCATTTATCAAGATGAGACACAAAAATCTGATGATTATAGCCAATTTGTTTTGATACCTGGTCCAGGTTGTGAAGGTTGATGGTCGCATAATTGGCAATGGAGAAGTGGGGCCAGTGACCAAGAGATTGCAAGCTGCTTATAAAAAGTTGACTGCGCAGTCTGGTGTACCTATACCCACCTTCACCCACCATCAGATTTGAAAGGTACATCTTGAATTTTTCACTGCAAGTGTTTTCCTCGAGCCTGCTTCTGTTATCAGTGCAAGTTGTTGTCATACCATTTCGTGTAAGTTAATCACTACGCCTTTAAATTTATGTCATCAGAGAATAAACATGTGTACTTTCTCGTGAACAATGACAGAATGTACTGAACCTTTCTCCCATCATTAAAGAGAACTGTGGCCTGTGAGCATCTTTTTCCCCCCCTTTTTTTCCTTTTCCTCTCAACAGTTCTGATGCCCATTCTGTTGAGTCTGAATAAATTAACGAAAAAGATGTGTCGTATTTTTCAAAAAAAAAAAAATTGTTATGAAATGCATTGGTGGTGGTTGCTTTTTTTTTTTCCCCCTTTGTTGGGCAACCCATTGGTGTTGTAAATTATCATTTTAAATGTTAATATTTTCTAAAGGGAGAAAAAACCTTTGATTCGAGAACCAGGTTGTACGCTATAGTCTGAAAAAGTAGAAGGCGTTTGGTCTAAGAAGACACCGCATGCTTAAATCTCGAAATTTGCAGTTGTAACCTTAATGTGTTGGCCAATAAAAAAATGGCGGAAAATATTCTTGGTATAATTCGTGACGTTATAGTTATACTGCTCATCTTTATCATTTCAGTGTAAATAGATATAACATGAATTTCTGGCCAGTCGTGAAATGATTTTGAATTTTGATCTGACACTGATGGAGAACGAACCTACGAAAAGACCTCTATTAATTAAATTTTTTTTTTATAATTTTCTCAAACTACTTACGAGTATCTCTCCTAATTGGGCCCAACTATCAGTTCTTATAAATTTAAAACCTTTGTTTTATTTAATTGAAATTACTGTGTTTTTAGTATTACTATGACGATAGAGCCATGATTCCATTTTGATTAGAGACGCAGTGCATGAAAAGTTTTTAAACATTACTCCTATAAATGAGGTTAAGAAAGCTTATCTATTACTTTCAGCATTTCAAAGAAAAAATATTTTCTACTGGGGCCTACTTGTGCTTACTGGAAAAAATAATGAAAGTGTTTTTATAAAAAAAAATTAGGATTGAATCACTTAATGCTGTGCTGACGTGAGATGGAGGTTCCAGAAGGAGCCTCAAGCTTTTGCGTGAAGGCGTTCGCTAGAACCAAGGACTGATTGACCCAATAAAGTAAGAAGGACGCTCCAATGATGGCAGCTTTTTACATGAAAATTGTAGCCAACGAAAACTTTTTGCATGAAAAAGCTTACACCCATGCTGTGTCTACTGTCCAAGCAGTGAAATTTTGTCAGTTTCTGTGATGTCAAAGTTGGAAATGTTTTGTGTGTTGTTAGAGATGCAAGTAACTTTTTATTGGGTAAGGTATAGGTTGCACGTAGTATATAATTTCGACCACCGTATGTTCCTCGAGAAAATTCTCATTGTCAGAAATTAATATTACTCTATGAAATGGAAAGAGTTGGTTGTTTTTCGGAAGTATTCCAAATATTTGAGTGATGATTTGCGAGTTAAGGTTTGTATGGGGGAGGTACAAAAAAAGTGTCAGACAGAAGGAAGTCAAGCCGGGCCGGATCACTATGGGCTGTTAGATCGTAAACTTGCAGGGAAAGAGAGGGATGGAGAAAGGAATATATCTGGGCCGGCTCGAGTTGGCCATCGTCTCCATCATCTTTTTTGCTCAATTATACTCTACAAGATTCTCTCGATTTTATGGGTGAAAAGGGAATAATTTTAGTTCTTGATCATCATGCTGAGAAAAGAATAAGTGCATCATGAATTGTGTCATTGATCTAAAAGGAAGTAGAATAATGTCACTTGTGGACCAACACTAGTCATTCATATGTAGCGAGAGGGTATATTCAACGTTCACTTTCTTTCTTTTTCACAAAGCATTCATCTTTGATTTTCCAGCGACTTGGTCCTCCTGTTGCTTTGCTCTGATCCGTGATTGTTCTACGTTGATAGCTCTGCCCCAGGCTTTTTCCTTTTTGTTCTGTATATATATTTCTTTTTCTTGCTCAGGAATTCAGCCCCAAGCTAGATCCAAATCACATACATATAATCTGAATCCCTGGAAAGTGTTTATTATATATATATATATATATATAATAAACACTTTGCCTTGAACATCTTCCTCTGGCAGGATATATTTAAGTCTAGAGGTAGAGATGAATTGGAATCCCTGGAAAGTGGTGAGGGCTATAGAAGAGAACAAGAAGATAAAGACAAAAGAAGGGTGGGTGGGGGCGTTTAGGACTCGGAATCTTCTAAAACAAAACACTCAGCGGAGCTTCTTTACGATACGATGCAGGAGACCAACGTACGCTGAGACGCCCAAGCTCCGCGGTTCATGTGAGTTCTCTGACACTGTACCCCAAAAACTAAAATAATGTTATTATTAAGCAATCCAGCAGCAAAGGATATGGGTATCGATCATTACGCAATCATGGGGCGTCGAGAAAATTCCCAAGCCTCTCAGAGCCTGCGCATATATGCTGTATATTGCATCTCTCATCAGTCACGAGAATTTTTCCAGCATGTCATTAATGAATTCATGTGAGGGGGAGAAGAAGCTAGGTTTGAGAGATATTGCTAGAATAGAAGACGATTACCTAGCCAAAGAAGAAGATTCCAAGAATATTGCACAAGGATCCGCTCAAAAACCATTTAAGTTTACCCTTATGTTATTTTTTTTTTAAGTATTTGCCCAAATATATGTGTATTTTTTTTTGAATTTTTTAATAAAAAATAATTATTTTATAATATTATATTCCTTAATATATTTCAAGAATCATCTTGTTTTTAACATTATTATTGATATTTTTAATATTTTATTTTCAGTAATTTTTTAAAGTAAGTTTTAATTTGATAATATATAAAAATAATGAATAATTTTTAATTATGCATAGTTTTTGAAATTATTATTTTTCATTCTAATATTAATTTCACACGAAAGGTCAAAAAATATTTTGCTTGAGTAGGGCCAAATCTGACCAAAAATACACATTGGGATGGGCGCCAGGCTATAGTGATGCCCGGCCGTGTCCAGCCCTGTTAGGAGTGTACGTGGCCTAAATATTTAAACACGTGTAATTCAATACAAAAATACTAATCCATGTGTTGTCAAAATCTTAGACATATAACGAGGAAAGTGTGTATCCATAATGGTTTCTAACACTTTGCCATATATAGTTTTCAAACGTAAGGAATAATGTGTTAGGATTTTGAAATTAATTCTAGAATCAAAATTATAGGTTTACGAAAATTTATCCAAACAATCTTAATTTTGTAAAGTTTTATTTTATAGAAGCTATTTTTTTTTATCCATTTGAGAATCAATTCTTAACATTTGAGTATTTTTTTTTTTATAATGGATGGTGAAAAATCATCCAAATATCTTTAATTATCATAATTAATTTCAGAAAACATCGTCCAAATATCATCAGATTTTATTAATCAAACCTCCAATGGTATGCTTACACTTAGAGAAGGAAAGAGGGAGAAGCGACTGAATTTGCTGTCAACAACACAAGTCCAATAGGAGTGTGATATTAGTTAGCATCCCTTAAAAAACAAAAACAGAGAGACAGAGACTGAGAGAGGCTTCTGGCCGGTGCTTTCAAGAATCAATATGGATCCGTATAACTTTATTGTTGCAGAACATGCTCGATAAGCCCACCAGCAGAAATGAAGGTTCATTAAATTTGTAGTGATTCGTCCGTGAACTGATCGTACAACTTCAAGGGCCCCACTGACTTTTGCTCTTTACCTTGCTTTTCCATCTGAATCATGGATCCGGCCCCCACTTGGATCTCCTACTGGGTCTTGCTAAATTGCAAAAATTATTGCAGGTGCCAGATACACGACGATATATAATGTAAACAAATAATTGCATCATGAATTAGCACTCCTAATTACCCGTACACCATGCTACACCCAGCACGCATACTGTGTTAGCGGCAGCATCGTCAAATGCTGACTCAGTACCTTGTGCAACCACGTTCTTTCCATTTTAATTTAGTCATTCAGTTTTGATTCATGCAGCCTTTTACTTTCAATAACAACTACTACATTCATGGCATTATAATTAAAATGGTTTTTTTTCTTCTTTTTTGAATATGGAATATATTGAATGTTCAGCTGATTTTTTTTTTTTTTTTTAAGAATGTGAAATTTGTGGATACAATAGTACGCAGAGGTGGATGAGGACAGAAGGGTTAGGTCTGGGGAATCAGTCGTTGGCGGTCGCAGGCTGTAATTCCACCTATTGAAGTAGTAGCAACTAGCAAGTCGCCGAGTAGATGATGCCTCTTCTTTGACCCTTTTGCTTTTCTACACTTTTTACTAGGGGTGTTCAGTCCGGACCCGTCCCGATTGGTCTGGTATCGTCCCGATCATATCGGGACGGGTCTTGTCCCGGCCCGAAAATAATCGGGACGAGACTTTACGGGACGGGACAGAAAAGAGGTTCGGGACGGGACGGGACACGGGATTACCATCGGGACGTCCCGTCCCGTCCCGAATATTATATATATTATTTTTTATTTTAAATATATTAATTATATTAATATAATTTATACTTATATTAATTATATCAATTATAATTTTAGAAGAGTAATTAGCTTAGTACATCTTCACTAAAGTAGAAGAACAATGATTTGATGTTATGTTTGACTTGTCTGTTGTTACTAATCTTATAGTATAAAGATCATTTGTATTTATTATTATAATGTGTAGTTATGATTAATATAATTCAATAATTGATTTTAAATTATTGTTATTTATGTACTTGTGTTGTTTTGATTTTAAACTTAATAAATTATATGATTTAAAATTTTAATGAATGTTATTATCCAGATCTTTTTTCGATATTATTCCATTTATCGGGACGGCGGGACGTCCCGATCTTGTCCCGGTCCCGTCCCGACTCTTAACGGGACGGGACGACTTTCGGGACGGGACGGGACACGGGACCAAAATTCAGTCCCGATCTTTTTCTCGGGACGGGCCGTGTCCCGTCCCGTGAACACCTACTTTTTGCCGCCTGATAATACACATATGTGGTGGGCCCAAAACGATCTAAATCAAACCTGTCATCCTTAAAATTTTGAATTAATGTTGAAATTTCAAAATTTGCAACTAAAGGGTCTCCGGCGCGTGCTTTAAAATTCCAACAAGGGTAGCGTTTCAAATTAATTGCCCAAACGTGTCCGAGCTAAAGAGGGACAAGGGAGAAACGGCCGCTAGCTTCGCAGAAGCTTTATGGACGGACCCCGCCGCGGGCTCAAATTATCTTCGCCTTTCCCTCGACCCCACTCTTTGCACGCTGTCCGGTGCCAAGTGGCCGGAGGTAGGGACCGAGTCACGCAAATCACTGACTGCCCCCATTAACTAAACTATGAGGCATAAGCACAAAGAAGAGTGTCATTATTTCAACTTTTTTAATTATATGATTACAAGATAAATTCCCCCGTCTATATTGCAAATCTACCAACTTTTTGCTAATTTTATGCTTATTTAATCTCGCAACAGTAACGGTCACTTCGGAGTCAAATCATGATTCCACAAAAAAGCTCATCTAATTAATCATCCTTCCTCATTCACTCCTGTAATTGTACGCACGATTCCATTATTCATCCCTAATTTGATTTACTCCTGAACCATATTCCCTCCGTGTAATCCGACCTCGGCATTCCTGCTGATCTGGCTGCCATTTGTTTTGCTGTCAGCGAGCCACACGCTCCATCAAATTAAAGAAATTTATTTTTCTCAAGAAAAGAAAAGAAACGCGCGCGTGCTTTAAGTATGCTTGAATTCAGAAAGTAAATAATTTAATACTTGAAAATCCTCAACTTATTATCAGTGATTGATAATACACATGAATAAAAATATAAAATAACATAAAAAAAGTTAAATTATATTTCGCGAGTGATTTGGAATTCACACGAGGAGAAGAGGGAGAAGCTGATGAGAATGAACATTTTGGTGGAGGGAAGAAAAAGGGGTGGGGGGGTTGGAAGGTGGAATTTATTGAAGAAGAGAGCGAAGATGAGGGCCTACCACCATGAAAAGAAGGCAGGCAGGCACAACAGAATTGACCAACCCTCGCTTTCTGTGTCTGCCTCCAGCCCCATTCCTACAGCCTCCCTCTCCCATGAGACTCAACTCCCACTTGTTTGATTCATCACTCGTTCGCCCCAGCTTTTAACAAAATTATGTATACCCCACACCAGTCGGGTCTTGATTCTGCACCCCGCACTCTTGTTCCATCCCCTCCAGCGTTTTGTACACTGCTCCTGCTATCTCTTCCACCGATCCCAGCTTGCATTCTTCTTCCAACTGCTCCCGCCCAAATTAAATTCCCGTTATCAATTATTAATTGAATTCACCACCTCAAAACAAGCACCCCAGAGAGAAAGAGATATCTATGTGCATACCTTGACGCTGATGCAGTAGAGCACGATATCGGCGGTTGTGGTCACGTTGAGATGCAAGATCGTGAGACGCATGCTGTACAGCGCCGACACTATCCTCAGCAGCTGCTTCGGTCGCTTCCTTGACCTTATTTTCAGATTCGCGTGGCTCTCCACCATCGTCACCTCTATATCTGCGATGCACGTCCCCGACGGTGCCCCCCCCGTCATCATCGGACTCTCCCCGCTCCCGCTCGGACTCGTCGAGTACTGCGGAAACGTGAAGAACTCTGAGAACGGCGTCTTCTCAGATTTCTGGCTCCCCAGAAACTGCAGCCTCTGCTCCAGCTCCTTCACAAAATTGATGGCCCCTCCTATTATAGACGCCTGATCGCCCTGCATAATCATTCAGTTCACGAAATTATTACCCCGTCCCTGCCTCCTGCAAAATACGCGACGAATGAAATCAAAAGGTACCCTTTGGACGTAGGAGTCAGGCATGAGAGAGCGAAGAACAGAGAGGTACTCGTTCATCTGCTTTCTTCGATTGCGCTCCACTGCAATGTGCGTCATTCTCTGGTTCTCGATCTCCTCCTTGTTCTTTCGGGTCCTTGCCCTGCGTCTCTTGGGACGAGAATTCGAGGAATCCGCTTGAAGGGCTTCCGACGAGGGCGTCGGGTTGTTACTGGTGTCGGAGGACGCGCGATTCGGGAGATGCAGTTCAGAAGAGCAAATATTAGTCCAGTCTCCGAAACCATAATTTTCTGTTTGGTCGTCAAGAAGATTGAGAAAGCCGTCGTGGTGGTCTTCCTGTTTGTGAAGGTTGAAATCGTCGTGGAAGGGCCAGAGGGGATAGAGATCCTTGGCAGCGCCATAGCCGAATGGGTAGTCTTGAGGGAAAACCACGGCTTCCAGCGCCATCGAGCTCTGGCTGTCTCTCTCTCCCTCAGGGAGGCACATAAATACAACACTCAATTTTTCACGTCTAGATCTGGTGGTGATGAGTTATAGATATAGAGAGAGATTTCAGAAGTATAAACTATACAACTAAACCGAGATGCGATTCTCCTTGGGAGCACTTCTTTCGGCTTATAAAGGCAGACCCTCACTTACACATTGGACAGTACTCCTGCACGTGAAATATAATGAAATTATTATTATTCTTATTTTTATTAATCATTGTTCCAACAGAAACTTATGTGAATAAATTAAGAAACAAGCAAATATATATATTAAAAAAAAACAGAGAAAATTAAGGACTGTGCTCGGAGTGTGGTATGTAAAATGACATGCTTGTGCTTTGAACTCCTAACCAGTATCAACAGCATGCGTTACTTTCTAGGTTTTCCGTCGCTGATTCTCTTACATGATAAATCAACGACCACGAATTGACATGAAATACTATTTTTATTTTTACGGAAAATATGGAAATTAAAGTAATTAGATATGGACATATCCTTATCAAAGCTTATAGCAATAGCTAATCATTGTGGTCATAGAGAGTTGCATCCTGTTCCCTGTCGTGTCCCGTGCTGGCCATTATTAAGTTGCTCTCGTGAGCCATCTCATTTTATCTCTGGATGCCCCTTTGTGAAATGACTACTATTTTCTCTACATATACATCTCTCTCTCTCTATATATATATATATATGGACATACTCCCCCAAACTTTCGTTTGCATTATCTATATCCTTTCCATATATAGAGTAGTAAGTGAAGACGAAATTGCATAGCATGTGAATCAGCAACTAGGGAACAGCTTTTCTGCGGTATCAGTGTTTTCTGTCGTGGTACAAGACAAAGTAAAAATAACTGGAAATAACTTAACATGAAAGAGTATATTATATATTTTTTAATTTGCATTTTGAGGCTGCCATTGCATCACGTAAAAGCTTGGTTTGAAGCTGTAGTATGAAGGAGCATGAGGAGGAATTGGAAGACAAAAGGAGGGATCGATCGCGATTAGGGCAATAATAGGGGTGGGAAGGCAGAAGCGAACATGTTCCGATGAAAAACTCGAAAAGAAATTAAAGGCTGACACAGAGATATACATATTTTCAGAGATCAGAGATTCCTCAGAGAGAAAAAGCTTATGAACTTTGTCCATTTGAGATAAAAGAGAGTGAGCAGCAGCAGTCAGAAATTTGCAGAGAATCCGTAAGCTTCAAAACAAACACTAGCTGCCAAACCTTCCGCAATAGGGAAGCCCTATGTTCCTAACTCCCAAAAATCACTCCAACTATGTAATATGCAACTTGTTTTCCGTCGTGGCTTCCTAATTTCTCTATGATTATAAATTTATAATATAACCAGTCTCTATGCTATCGGATTATTACGGCTTTCTGAATTTTCTGAAAATTTCTCGTGACAAAACTTAAGGAGCAATAAGCACAAGGTATAGAAAAAGAGCGGACTTATATATACCATATGCACTATATATATATATATATATATATATATATATTATTACACTCTGAGTTCGTTGATGATGATGAGTGCTCCCAGTTCTTTTGAGGCTGGATAAAATAATGCAATTACGTGCCACCCAACTGATTAATTATTTATAGCTAATAGTTTTAGTGTTGATATCAAAAGTTTAAAGTTTTGGCTACCTAAAAGATAAAACTTACATACATAGCCTTATACTTAATATACTTATGCCCAATTAAATTATCACAAGTGAACTTAATATATTAATTAAATTAATAGCAAAAATTTATTATAAAATAAATAATATATAAAATATTTACATATGTCTTAATTTAATTGAAAACAAGCACATTAAATATATAAGGCTATGTAAATAAGTTTTTTCCAAATTAAAGCTAATCACGCGAAACATTAGACTTAACTGGAACTTAAACATTGAATGAATAAAAAATATCGTTACATTATAATAGATACCTTGATAATGAAGTGTATTGATGACAATTAATTAGTCCCGTTAGATGAGCCCTTTTATTAGCCTAGAGAAAGAACAAAGAATAATATGTTCATACACAGAAGACAGCATCTTCTCAGTGGTCATCAGTACGATTACTAATTTGTTAGGTTTAAGGTGCTCTTGTTTTTTTTTTTAAGTACTGTAGCAAATGAGAAATTGCCCGTCTCTTGTCACCTTTGTCCTTTTGTAAGTGGGGGCCTCTTATACCCTTAATTATACTGTTGGTTTGCATATTTAAATACTGATATTAGTTAATATAATAGGCATCATTAGTAGACAGTGCTGTTTGTGGCTTTTTGGGAATGATATTATGTAATGTATACATCACCTGAACTGGGAAGAGTTGTCTTGTCCCAGTTATTATTAATATACACTGAACGTACCAAGGTGCACATGTTTTAATAATAAAAAAAAATTCCGTCTAATATTACCTTATTACCCAAGAATCTGTCATATTTTATGAGCTAGTATATGTATAATATATTTGTTCTTATGTGGATATGTGTGATTGGAATTGATATATTTCCAGTTCTAGAGGACAGCCTGCCAAAAGCAGCTGTGTTATTAAAAATGTTGTATATATTTCCGTTTTTAAAATCACAAGGGATTGATTGTCAAATTTCATGGAAGACGAGGGACATGATTAAACAATGACAACTACTCATATATAGGAGCATTAAACATTGAAAACTTTGAGAACTTAGTGCTGGCGTTGATAATGCTACTATTATAGAACATCGTTACCGACAACCTTATTGTGCACATTAATTAGTAATAATCTCGACTTTGTTCGTTTCACACGCATATAAAACTAGCGGTACTCTAACTAAAGTGCAGAGCCCGAGAATAAACATGCATACCAGAGGTAGGTCAAATATTATTTGTGTACGTGGAATACGAACACACGAAAACCCAGGCACTCATCATGTACAACTATAAACCATGAATGTGAAGTCTGCATTAATCAGCTAGCGATGATATTTTAATTTAGCCAGGTAGGTCAAATAATCAATTATCAATTAATTCTAAAAAAACATGACTAGCAGTGTCATGATCAAGCGACCACCGTCCATATTAGAAATTCGACCTGATAGAGGATCAAAGATAGAAGACAGAGTTGGTAAATCCACACTAAACTACAATATAATCAGTAATAAGTAGTGGATGTAGTTAGGGCTATGGCCATTATTTAGGTATTAGGCCGGCCGGTTCAATATCTCAAATCCATACACTTCATTGCACAAGTCAATATATTAGCTACAACAAATATATACTGTCACGAATGGAATTTTATATATATATATATATATATATATAAGACTTAACAGGACTACATGCATTTAATCTCTGGTTGGAGTCAATTTCCAAATTTTGTAGGCAAATTAAGGTCGCTAATTAATTTTGATTAATTTATTAACTGGCTAGCTAGTAAGACTTAATGTAATGGGTCGAATTATTATATGTGAAATGGCTTAACTGATTTGCGGCGTTGCCATGCAAGTTGGGCTGAAGAGTGGAGGGAAAGGTTCGGTTCATTTGAATCTCGATAAAAATACAGGAAACTTAATCTTGTCTGCATCTTACGTGGTTAATGAGCGTACATGTGCATAGACAGAAACAAATGAGGTTTAATTACAAGGATTCAGATTTTGTTGTTGCCCTAGAACGACGGAACAAAACCCAGTGGTCTACTCTTGGTTTTGTCCCTTATGCAATTCAATAATTACACGATGCTTATCGTTATATTATCACTCATATTCTAGCAGTGTACAGAACAGCAGGGATGGATCATCACCCTATAAATGATGAGACACCACATCATAATTAATTAACCTTTCAATCACTACTGTATCAATACAAATTCTAAGGAAATCCAAAACTGTGAAAATTATATATATTCATCTAGGGTTAAACCCAAGCCCGAATAGTATTGCCTGTGAGGGACCATACTGCTAAAGTATAGCGTAGTGCTCCAAGATTTCAGGATAGTATATAGCTATAATAATATCGTCTGTGAGGGACCATCAATCCAAATTCCAAAACTAGATCTAAAAGCTTCATTACCCGGTCATCTAGCTATACATAAACTATATATTAACACTAGTCTCTGATATAAAAACCATTAAGTGGCCCACTTGAATGAATTGTAAAATGCACAGCTGCCTTGCGGAATCAACTTATGATAGAATGGTGCAGATGAGATGCAGTGCACGCGTGAGTATTACTGTGCACACACACGGAGAGAGAGACAAGCTAATTCTCAGGGGAGTTATAATCATAAAAAAATGCTTGCTTGGGTGTGTCAATCCATTATATGAAGACCGTACCAGGAATTGATATAGGAAGAGGCGGAGAAGGCAAACTCGCTTTGTCCTACGACTAATAAAAAGATGGATTGGGGTATCCCCGAAAAGCCCTTGCTTTATTCTCACTTCACTGTGAACTGTAGAAGCATAAAAAAGCAGTGATAAATTTGACAGGGATGGCGCTGAGTGACAAAAAACCTTATCACTTTAAAATCTTTCATCATGTGAAACCATGCCTTTGGTGGGTCCTCATAATCAATGCTTTATTCTTTAAACTTGGAAAAAGAGCAAGATCCAGTACATATTATGTATATATGTCTGCGCCACAGAGAAAATAATGAGCCGCACAGTCGCAAAAAATCATGTGTTGCCAATGAACCTGCAGACCCACACACGGGTCAGTTTTCGAAGCCAATTCAGCCAGAGAAATCAATCGCAAAAGGTAGAGAGAAACTTTGTTAATTCCACAAATGTATATCCTAATGCACAGGCAAAATCAACTCCATTCCAAAAGCTTTTATCGTGAAATTTTTGGACCAAGCCCGCAACATATATCCCCACCTACCTTCTTTACGTCACTGTCCCAAATACCTTTGCTTCGTTGTTATCATTAATTATATTATGTTTGTTATAGTGACAAGTTCACTCGCCTCCAATCAGATTCTTCTCAAGGCTTTTGGCATCTCCAGGTGTGAGCAGGCCACCCTTCATTTTTATTTCCAAGACATCATTACATTACATCTCACGCAATGGCAATCTGTTTTAAGACTCTCAAAAGGTATCCCATTATGCATATGATCAGCAGGCCATGCAGGCTTGAGTTGTTGGTTCAGTT